GTAATCAGTACACATAAGGTGAAGAAAAGAACAAGAAGAAAGTTAAATACACAATGATACTGATACTGCTCACAACTAAAATTGAATTGAGTCTAGACCACAATGCAGCTTGATGGTTTAACCCCAAAAGCCATTTCCTCCTGTCACTGAAGTCAGTTGGTATTTGGTCTTTAATTCAAATGACCCCTGAATTTCCCTGAACTAATGATGTTACTGTTTTTCCTTGGAAATAAAATGTTTATTGATTTACAGGTACATCTTTTGTGATTTTATGCATTAATAGCATAGAAATTGCCTTGGGGTATCCTATTCTTTAACCTGAGGAAGAGTATTACTTTTTAAGAAAGGAATTAGCATGTATCTCTATGTCTCTAGCATTTCTATTTGCTTGTTTTTTCCATATGGGCAAAAATATGTTTAACACTAGTCATGCATTATAAATGTAGGAAAATCAGGGTGAGCTGCATTCTTTCTCTTAAATATTCATAGATTTTTTTAAATCCCCTTGCACTGAGTTTGAGAACAAATGCTTCTGTTCCAATGGAACATATTTTCATTTCAGTGCTCATAAGAAGAATTAATTTTCATAGTTTCCCACTTCAGTTCACAAGTCCTTTTATGTTTGTATTTGTCATCCTTATCTTCGTGCAAATTTTTTGTGCTCATCAATGTCTCTGGAGTTAAACAATGGTTCTATGAGATAATGAATTAGAGTCCTTGTCTGTCATAATTGCTGGTCACTATTGCATGATGGCAAATATTTTTGTCCAAAATTTGATATCCAGTTTTATTAGACAGTTTTGCAACTTGTTAAGGACATACCTTTCTGGGTCAAATATAACAATAAGAACAACTATTATTAGTTTAATGATAACTAAGGAAAAATAGTAAGTACATGTGTTTGACATTTCAAAATTGTATTTTTAAGCTATACAAAAATGTATATTTTTTTCTATTTAAACAAATTCATTCAATTTATCTGTGCAAAATTCTGCAATTTAACCAACTATGTAGGAAAAAAATGCTATGCAAATCATGTGTGGTTATCATATGGTTTGGGTGGTACCCTGAATGTCTGAACAAGAGGTGAAGCCTCCTGGAGGGCAGAGGGCTTTTGTGTAGTGGCTCTGTGGGAAGACAAAACGGCCTGACATCCCAGCTCTGGCATAGAGTGAAGGATTTCACTGTTGGCATTCTCCTGTGTCTTCCACAGGTTTATTTTACCAACCCCTTGGGCGCAGTCACTCAGGAAGCCTCTGTGGCATCAGGCTCAGCAGCGTGCATGGCCTGTGAGGGCCTTTTGGAAAGGCTTAGGAAAAGGTGAGCTCACTTGTGCCTGCACTCTTGGCCCAGAAAGGCATTTGTGACTGCAGAAAGGAGGCTCTGGATTCATCCTGCACCCTTCACAAACACCTGAAACATGTTTGTCTGAATCCTAGAACAGACTCCTAGGGGAAAAATTAGACACTAGTGGTATTGTTATATTTCTAGAGTCCCATACCTCCTCAGTGTTTTTCTTATAGCTGCAGATCTTCACACCACTGCCTCCTTCTGCATGTTGTTCCTTCTTAGTCAGGGCTCCTTCCAGGCTCTCCCTGACTGGCTAACCCACCCCCTTTTATCCCAGTTACCTTCACTAGCCACAGCTGCAGCCCAATGAAGGACATCACAGCTGCAGCCCATCAAGATCAGCTGGGACCTACTGGGGCAAGGCCTATATACAGATATTGAAGTACAATACAGATATTTACTGGGACTCAAAGGCCACCTCTACTATACACAAGGACTAAAAAGAAAATAGAGTATTGACAAAAACTGAGTTTATTCCATCAGGGAAAATTCTAGTCAATGGTGGCAATTAGTTACCTCTCAGGAAGAAAGACTAAAACACATCTATGTTCTGATAGCCCCATAATTTTGTACAGGATTCTGTACTACATGGAGTGTGTCTTTTGGTTATATGGGGGAAGTATGTACTCGTAGGAAAGTTTGTTTGCCCAGAATTTGTGGATTTAATACAATATTTTTAATGGGTTTTTTAAAATGTGTATTTATTATCTGCAATCATGTGCAAGAATAAAGTCAAACACACATTTTTTAATCTGTACATTTTTCCCTGATTTAATGAACTTCTATCACCAACTCTTCATTTGGTTCACACTCCCTTAAAGAGGCCTGGCTGGTGTTTTGGCATTCCATGGAGATCCTATGGTTTAAGATGGCAAATATCCTGTGTGTGTCTTTTCCCTGTTTGTCTTCGCAGCTAAACCAAGATTTGGGTAATGTGTTAAGTGGTGACTATGACAAAAGGTGCATTAAAAATGTGACATGTTTTGCATTTCATTTGCAGGAAAAACATGATTCTTTCTTGCCTTTGTTTGTATAAACTCACTGGAGCAGCAGTCCCTCAGACATGTTCAGTAATGACAAAAATAGCTGTAGATACTGAGGGATGGGTTTGAGTTACCAGAAGAGAGAGTAGGTGACCACAGGAATGACAGAACAATGTACTTGTAAGCACGTGGTGTTCAGTGCATGTGAAGACTAACTACAGCTTCCTCAGGCAGGAACTGGAGTGGGCTTCAAGTGCAAGGAAAATAAGAATTACAGCAATTCATAGCTCTATTGTTATTTGTCCCCTTAAAATGTCTCAGGAGCCTATTTATTCTTCACTTCCCTTAAATCTCTAATTAGTGCAAATGACTCAACTTTCCATGCATATTTTATTAATCTTGTGTTTTCTGATCAAGTTACACTCATTGCTTTGCTCCATCATTTTTGAAGGCTTAATGCATCCTTGCCAGGTGATTTACATTCCTCTCTGAAAGTGATTGGAGTGAATGGTCCAAACAGTTGCTGCTAAAGCTGAGAAACTTGAATCAAGCCTGATAGACTGATTTCAAGAGCACTGAGTTCAATCAAGCTGAGAAAAATCAAGCCTAAGAAGTATATACTTCATATGGGGAAATATCCTTTTTAGTATGATTGGTATATAAACAGTGATTACAGATTCCAGTTTCTGGACAAAACAACACTTTCAAAAAATTACCAACCTAGATTTATGAATAATCAGAAGTAATGGGGAATATCTCATTTAGTGACAAACCCACTCTTCTGTCTCTGCATTCCTGGCTATCATACAAGCCGTGGATACTGCTTGGGTATTTGCTGCAAATAAGTAGGATCCAGCTATGGAATGCTCATAGGCATTCAGTTATTAACATTGCCTCATAATCTTCCACATGGAGATGAACAGACTTGCATAGGAATAAGAACAAAACAGCATCAAGGGGTGATTCTTGTTAAGATTGTCTCCACAGCCTCACTGCCAGTGATGAGATTAAAAAGTGGTTTTGACTGAGGTAATCAGTCAAATGGCAAAACAACCATCCTAAATGGTTGGGCTATCTCTCAGTAAATATTTTCACAAAGCTTTTCAATAGGAATATCATCACTGCTGGGTTCTTCCTCATGGAGAGAGAATTCCCCCAGAAATAAGTAAATAACACGGGACAACAGCAAAATGAGGCACAGCTGAAACTCCTTGCTGAAATAGTAACTTGCCATGGACACTGATGCTTGACTTGAACTGGTTGAAGAAGTGGCAGATAAATGGTGCATGCCATTCACAAGATCTAAAATAGGTCAGTACTGCTGTGTTCAGAGAGGTCATTTCTGTCCATTGTTATGGCTCTGTTCAGGATAGCACACAAAGCAAAGGGAATGCTAAGATAAAAGGAAACACTTCTTAAGCACTGCTCGAGCTGGGTAGGTGGTGTGCTGGGATGCCACTGCCAGTGATGGTTCAGAAAGAGCTCCAAGTACAATCAGAGCTGTGTTTGTTCTGGGCCAGAAGACTGGCAGTCTCTCCCCAAACAGACAAATCATGACTTGCACTTTACCAAACACAATGTCTTTGTTCACCTTTGCAAAGTACTTTAGCCCATAGAAGATTCTTTTCAATAATATTATTATTAGATTAGGTATCCCAAACCAGCTTGAATTTCCTGCATCTTATTCTCAGGAAAAAACACACTGAGAATTCCATGAAACATGACTTGCACAAACATCTGTCACAGAATGTTTTGATCCAAATCATTCAAATTTGGCAACATTCTAAGCAATAAGCAGTGGAATCTCAGGAGGAGAAGCAGCAGGCAGTTTTTATCTTAGCTGGAACCAAAACCTCTGTTTATATTTGTAGATTTCCATATGTGAAAATCCTTTCCAAACCTATTGTAGATACCCTGAAATGACTTAGACCAGCGTTCATTTTACAATACAGCAGGCCCACCAAAAATTTAACTTCTAAACAAGCAAACGTCTGTTCCTCTGCTGCCTTCCCTTAGTCCCCTATTTTCAGAATACTCAGAAAAATCAAGCCATACTATAATTTGGGAGAATTGTGCCTAGTTCCTGTCACTGTTGAAGGGAAAATCCTTTTAAAATTATGTATCTCAGAGATCAGTGAAGTGTAGTGTATCATGGCTTTAGTTTTCAGAGCACAGCTAGACTGGGAGGCAAGAACAATCCACAATGTGTGGTGCACGCTGTTGCTGTTCATACAGGCACACTTTGGATGGCTGCTGGCCTGAATTCAAATGGCTACAGAGAAAAGGCACCTGCTTGGAAGATTCTTTGCAAACGCTGTTCGACAGGGCTGGAGGGGAGTGGTCGGCAAACATCGTCCTGCTGAGAGCGTTCAGGGACGAATGCTCAGGCTGTCAAATATTAGCCAAAATATCCTGCCAACAGCTAGTACCCGGAGTAATAAACCGGGGTGTACGGCATGCAATTTCATCCTAGAGCTCCTGCAGAGAGGTTTGTTTTTGACAAACTCATGTTTTTGTGCTGAAAACAGCCCTGCCTGGCTGCGCTCATTGGGGATTTGCGGTCTGGCAGGAGCCCGCTCGTTCCGCACCGACCTGTGGTGGCTGGAGTTCCCCTCCTGGCCGCTCAGCGCCTTGGCAATCCTCAGGCAGCTCCAAAGCACTCAGAACATGACTGCCTGTGAGGGACGGCAAAGGACAATGTACCCCGGGCAGCACAGCGGGTCCCGTTGGGCCTCCTCAGGAGGGAATATCAGGGGGGAAAGTCCTGGCAGGCGGCAGAGAGCCCTGGCAGAGGCCGCCGGGCGCTCCGGGAGCGCTGCCAGCGCCGGAGGCGGCCCGAGCCTGGGCCTGGGCACAAACAGCTCCTTCATCCAGCGGGGCGGGAGCCGGGCCCCGGAGCGCCCCGGGACAGGGTGCGGCGGCCCCCGCGCTGCCCGGGACGCCGGCTCTTCCAGGCGGGACCGGGGGCCTCCTCCTCACCAGGTATCGCCTGCTCTCCCCGCTTGGGTTGTTTCCAGACCGTATTTCTAGGTGAAGAAGTAAATGTCGGATGCCGGAGCCCTTTTGCAGCCGAGGGCCGGGAAACGCCCGCAGTGGCTGCGTGGGGAATTCCCGCGGGCAGATCCCATCTCCCGGAGCCGGGCAGGGAGGGCTCGGCCCACACACCGGGGCGGGAGGGGTGAACCGCAGGGCTTAGCTGGGGGGGAAGGCCCGAGATCGCAGCTGCTCCCTGTGCCCTTCTTCCCCGGCCTGAGCGGCGACATGCCAGCCCTGGGGAGCGAGGATCGGAGAGAGCATTGATTTCCTCTCCCGTTTAGGAGGAAAGCATGTGAAGGTGCTCTGGGTGAAGGCAGCTCTTGCAGGTGGCTGATGGAGGGGTACCCCTACCATCCCTTCGGAGGTGTGTCCCATGCTTGCAAACTATCCATCTGAAGGAGCAGCTGAGGCCTCCCGGGGTCCCCTGTGACAGTGGCTCTCTGTGATCACCTGCGAGTCCTGCTTTCTGGCAGCAGTACTGTGTGTGCCAAAGGGCTGAGGGGATCCCGAGGAGCCTCTGGAATCCTTTGTTTGCTGAGGAAAGATCATCCTCGCCTTTCTCCTGCAGCACTTCCTAAATGCATATTTCACAGGGCAGCCCAAAGAGCAGAAAGGGGACCTGGCCAGAGTCAAAAGGCCAAAATCAGGAGCTCTTCCACAGCAAACACCCGAGAATAAATCAGTCTTTGCCCAGAAAAACCCCTCTCTGGGGTCATGTGAAGGGAAGTAACACCAAGGGTGCTTGTAAACTGGGGAAATGATAAAATAAAAGTGATCAACCAAAAAAAAGAAAGGAAAAAGTGTTCCATGGCATGCACTGACAAAGACAGTGGGTACAGCTGCCCTGGTGGATGAGGAGCCTCTCCAGAAGCTCAGAAAAGCTTTAGCCTTTGCTCCCCAGTACCAGAGGCTTCACACTATTCAAAACAGTTTCAGCACTTACTTATGATGAGAGTCAGTTAAAAAAAACCCACACAAACTAAGCCCTTCAAATATAACAGGTTTTGGTTTTCTTTAGTTATTTCCTGTTCTAACTTTTCTGGTCAATAGTTCAGCTGGGCTTTTTCCACTGTTTATTTGGGTGTGTAAATATGCTTATTTTGGTAGGCCAGCCAGATTGCGACACAAGCTTAGAGCGTCCAGCCTGCTGTGACCGTGGGCTGCAGCTGCAGCTGGCAGTGGATGTGCACGTTCCTCTGTGTGTGTGTGTGTGTGTGTGTGTGTGTGTGTGTGTTTGTGTGTATGTGCTGGGGAACAGTGTATTTATCCATACTGGCCATGTTACCCCCTGCCAGAATGATGTTAGAGCTGAAAGTTAGTGGCACTTAGTGGTGACATACAGCTATTTGAGGCAAGAAAGAATAAAGACCCCCTTGTGTCACATGAGGCTGACATTGTCTCCTCAGCTATGGGAGTTGGGAGTGAAGTCACATCAAAAAGTACCTCAGTATTTTTAAAACTAATTCATTCTGGCCTGGGAGAGGCAGGAGGGTCACAGGGACATGAAACCCACATCAGGCAACTGGTGTCCTCCTTGCTGGGGAGTACAGCTCCAGGTAACTCTCTCTGGCTTCTATCCTGTTCTTTGTACACTGTGAAGGGACAGAGAGCTGAACAATACCAGTCACCATTCACGTCCCTCCCCAAGAGCTACTGCAACTGATCTGCCTTTTTAAATGCTGATTTTTGCAAAACACTCAGGCCTGTCTGAGGGGATGAGAAGTGTCAGCCCTGCTGGGACTAAGCTGGGCTGCCACATCAGCTAAAAATAGTTTCTCCTTCTCTGCCCTCTACCTAGCAAGATGCAGGCCATGCTGCCAGGGCAGAGCCATAGGTGGGCCTTGCACTCAAAGCAGGATCAGTAGCTCTGCAAAGCCTGAGCTGTGCTTGCTCATACAAGCTGTGTGTAGCCTCTGCTTTGCGCCCAGTTAGTTTTTGGCATGAAGGCTTGTTGTGCTCCTGGACTGCAGCAGTAGGTGCAGGAAAAGTGGTGCATTGGACAGCTGCTTGTCATGGTCTTCTGAGCTGCTCTCACTGGCTCCAGCACTGTCACCACCTTCCTGCCCTTGCTGGATTTTGCAGCACAGGGATCAGTTGATATCAAACTGGCTCATCTGCAAAAATCCCATCTGAAACTGGGTAGACTTGTGAAACCTGAATCTCCACCAAGCCACAGCTCCCCTTTCTTCCCCAGGGAGGTCAGTCAGGAAATTCAATCTCCATCATGGTCCAAGGGCTTCAGCAAAGGAGAGTTGTGAGGGACAACTGAAAGCACATCTCTGGCAGGTGGATAATGTACCCGTTGTATATGTTCCAGGGCAGCTGAAAAAGCAGGGCTGTGCTTGTCCATGGACTGCTGGGAGGCTCACTGGGCACTCTGAGAGCCACATGCCATTTCCACAGTTCTGACTGAGAAGGTTTGTTCACAAAGATGTATTTAGATACCTTTCTCAGAACCAGTTTGCCTCAGTAATTACTCAGAATTATTCCTCAGAATTATTACCCAGCCCTCCAATTTCTCGTTGCTTACATTCTTCCTTACTTTCCCTTTTCCCTTCCCACAGCATTTTTCCAAACTGGGTTTCTGGGTGTCAGCCATGCAGGCCAGCAGTTCTGCTCCAGGGTCCATTTTCCCCCCTGTACTGTGTCCTCTTCCTCTGCTGTGCAGGCACTTCAGTAGTTAGCTTGTAAAAGAAGATGTGATAATTAACAGAAAGAAACTTAAGCATTGCCCAGAGAGGAAGGAGACGGGTTGTAACAACCCTTGGCTGTGAGGCAGAAGGAATGCAATGACAGGCAACAGTTCCTGCTGCTCTTTCCCTTCTTGCATAGCAGAGACATCAAATTTTAAGTAGTAAAACCTCAGGGGTAAGTGAGAAGCTGTGTGAACAGTTATGAACAAGGATCTCATAAATAAATTGACCTATCATAACTCCAGGTCTGTCTTGCCTAAATTTACATCAAAGATGCCAAAAGCCACAGGAAGATGGTAAATTAGCCTGTCATTGTAAAGTGCAGGCACTGGTTTCCAGTAGAAGTTCTCAAAGAGCAATTAGTGAGGCTGGATTTCTAGTCACTGATAAGCAAGCCCCATAGAAGAAACCAGAACCATCAGGGCACACAACTGAAGGTCTGTCTCGCTCAGCATCCTCTCCAAGAGTGAATATTGTAGCTATTCCAGGAAAAAAATTAGTCATAGGCAGAAGGGATCCTCCCCCGACATCCTTGGTCAGATCTGGGCAGTAACCTATTGAAGGGGTGCCTGACCCAGCAGGAGCACCCCTACTCACCTGTTCAAAGCTGCTAAAGGATTTATCACCTCTGAGGTTGCCCAGTCTCTCTCTCCTGGGCCCATTTAGTCCTGGCTTTGGGGAGTTTGCAGGATGCATGGAGCTGCATGGTTCAGTTCTGCTTGGTGCCTTCACCAGTGTGAGACCTGAGCTGGCCATGGCCAGGAACACAGGCTGGCACTTCACTGGGATGGGCAACCAGGTGACTGTCTACCAAGAGCTGTGTGCCACTCCTCAGGACAGGTGCCAGCTCCAAGACTTGCCCAGGACAGGGGAAATCAGAGACACTGCACTTCCTGGAGAAGCAATCAGCAGGTGAGGAGTGGAGTGGAGCCCAGGACATAAAGCAAATTATAAAGTAATGCAGAGAGAGGCAGAAATACAGGCCCTTGGAGCAGCAGGACTGGCTGGCACCTGGGGGTTGCCATGTGCTGCTGAGAGAGCATGGCAGCCTTGGATGCCCACAAATCTGTCCAAGGTGGTGAGTCATGCTGGCAGGTACAAGGACCAAGAATGGATTGGAGACCACCAGTGTGATTTGCTTCTGCTGCCCAGGCAGTGATAGCCCTCACTGCTGGAGATCCCAATGTTCAAGTAACCTTTTGGCCTAACAAGCTTAAAAAAAGCCAGTTTCTCCAGAGCTCTGTGCCTTTTGCACCTGACACAATAGAAAACTTGATGAGTGCCTTACCCCCTCAGATTTTATTGAGGAAACCTTCCTCAAACCAGCCCAAGCCCTAGTGGTGGACATGCAGATCTGCTGAGGATGAGGTAGTGGCTGCTTAAAGACTTTTCAAAACTTTTTTGTCGTATCAAAAGCTGATTTTTTTGAACCTAACCACAGTCCTGGTTGTGTGCATCAGTTAATTAGTTGTTGGGGAGGGATTATGTTACATCTCATGTGGGTATTTCATAGCCTGATACTCGCCCTGGATGATAGTGATGTGTGATATGTTGTTTCCAAATGCAGGTAGGAACCTCTCTCCTCTCTCTGCATCCTGGAGATGGCCTCACCCAAGGTTGCAGTGGTGGGTGCAGGAGTCATCGGCCTGTCCACAGCACTGTGCATCACAGAGACTTGTCCCAGCTGCTCTGTGACAGTCCTTTCAGACCAGTTCAGCCCCAACACAACGAGTGATGTGGCAGCTGGGATGCTCATCCCTCATATCTACCCAGGTTCGTTCAATTCAGGGCGGCACTGCCCATGGCACCTCATGCAGCCCTGTGCAGCGGTGCATAGAGGCTCAGAAAAAAAGGTGCCCTCACCTGTGTTCCATGTCTGTCCCATATCCTTGACACTCATTTGAATGCTTCTCTTCTTTGCATTATTCCTCTCTGCACATTTGGATTTGTTCACATGCAGACACACCAATCCACAGGCAGAAGCAGTGGTTCCAAGAGACCTTCACTTACCTTTTTGCCATCAGCAACTCAGCCGAGGCATCAGAGGCTGGCATTCACCTGGTCTCTGGGTAAGAACAGCCCCTAGGGCAGCCTTTGGTACATTTGTGCTGTGTTCTGGAGCAGGTTTTCTTTGCTGGATTCAGGGGTATTCCCTTCAAGGAATAGCTTTTATGTCTGTATTTCCAAGAAACTGCATTGTAGCTGCTCACATACGCTGTATTTTCAGGCAAAATTCAGGAACAGGTGTGCACAGAAAATCCACTCAAGTGTGACCAGCACCAAATCTCTTTTAATAACCATTGTTTTCTATACTGTCACCCACTAGTTATTTGCAGCAGTTATTTGATCTGGAGGGATCATCTCCAGACAGAAGGGACTGCAGGATCCTCCATCTTCAGCAACTGAGTACAGGGATTCTGCTGGGGGATGTGTGTGTTGGGGGTGTTTTATGCTGCCTATTATGTAGTGAGAAATTTGCCTCTTAGGAGTGTTGAAACTGAGCACTCTGTAGCTTTATAGATACCCAAGGAATGGTGAACAGGTGTGCAAGTGGCCCCACCAGGTCCTGCCAGGTGTCTGCAGTTGTGGTGGGGACTCTGTATGAGGGCACTCTGTACGTACACCATCACTGGAAGGGCTCTCTGCAGTTTATTTACCCTGATGTGCCACCCTCACACTCAACTGTGCTGACCTTCTGCCTGTTTGCCCAGACAGGTATTGCAGGAGCAAGCAGCAATTTTTCCCCATTGCTGCTAGCCTTGCAGAGCTGCACTGGGGGGGGGAAAGAGGTTCTGAGCTCCTGCATTTGTTTTAAGATTGCCACGACACATAACATAGTAGAGCAATAACAGTGAAGTTGTCCAGATTTTTCTCTGTCTTTTTAGTTGGCAGATCTTTAAAAGCCCTCCCAAAGAAGAGTTACCTTTCTGGTCAGATATTGTGCTGGGATTTCGACCAATGTCCGAAGCAGAACTCCAGAAGTTCCCGCAGCACCGATTTGGTCAGGCCTTTACAACCCTGAAATGTGACTGCCCACCTTACCTGCTGTGGCTGGAGAAAAGGTAGGGTTTGCTGCAGGCTGGGCATGCAGGGGGAAACCCTGGCAGAGGGACTGGAGACAAGACAGGGTTTCCTTGAGAGCCTTAGATTTGAACAAAACTGGGAAAAGGCTGTTTCTCATTGCAGGAAATGCAACAAGCTCTTGCTTGGGGAGAAGCACGGCAAATAAATACAGAACTTTTCTGAAATGTGGAAGGCCCTATTTGTGCAATGTCCACTTTCTCCCAGTGTGTCTGTACAATGGGGCTTGGAGTGTGAGCGACCCTGGGCATTGGGCAAACGTAGCCACAGGGGCTATGCTTGGCCAGCCAGACCTTGAAGGTACATCAGGAGCCTGCCATGTCCTGAGAAAACATTTGGCTGCTCCACATTTGCCAAACTTCCCAAATAGTGTCCCTCTGTTTTTGAAGATACATCCAGTGCCTGTGAGAATAAGCACATCTAGGAAGGTGTCTTATTGTGAAGACTTTCCTCTTATGAAGTAACTGGACCAATTAATCTCAAATTTGTTCAACAATTGGAGTAATTTCTTAATCCATTTAGCTGAAAAAAATCCCAAAATGTTAAGCAGCATCATCTTGTAACACATTTCTTGAAAATGTTTGCCTGCATAAGATGAGTGATGTGCTCACTCTGAGGAGTCGTGGCTTCAGAGCTCATGCCTGGATTGACATCAAAGTCAGAAAATCTGCCGATTTCCAAATTTTTAAGTTTCCCCCCAAATACCTCAATTTTGGAGAACCATGTGAGAGACAGGATGCAGATCTAAAAGGGCTTTGACACCCTGGGACATACTGGGGTAAGTATTTAATCCAAATAAGTACCTCTAAAGTGAGCAAATGGCTATATCCACTTGAGAGAAAGAGACAGGCTGCAAGCTGATTTGGGGTTAAGTAAAGAGATGTGTACTGACACCAAGGTACAAATTGCCAGCTCAGCTGGTTACTTGGATGCCTTTCATCACACTGCAAAATGTGAAAAAGCATTTCTTGTTGTAGCAGCCAAGCGGGCTGGGAGTTCTCCTGTGGCACCAGTGCCATGTGAGGTCTGTGCCATCTACTCAGTACACATGATCTGTCATGTTTCATTGTCTAACTGAAGCAAATTTCTGCTGCAGGACAGCTAAGTTGTACAACCCATTTAGTATCTGCCATGTGATTTCTGCTCCCTCCTTATTCCTGCTGTAGTCTTCTTATTTCTCAAAGGATGTAGTCTAATGAGATGATCAAGCTCCTTTTTTTTCTCTTCTCCCTGGTGATGAGAAGTGAGAGAATATTAAACATGTAACTAATTCTCAAACCCCTAGTGACCTGAGCAGTATTTATAGACCATTCTCCTGGCAATCCATAAGGAAAATTTTTGTTGTGCCCACCTTGCTTGGCCAAAAATAGACTTCAGGAATTTTTTCCTGCTTCCTTGCCTGAATTCAGGAGTTTTCAGGAGGTTTTTTCATTGGTGTATTTTTTATGGCGTGGTGACAGAGTCCCAGTTACAACTCTTAGGAACTCTTCCTGCAAGTTGCCCAGCTATAGCTGCTGCGTGCGAGCTCCCCTGTTCTTCATAGACAGCTTCAGTGCCCTGCTCCATCAGGCCCCAGAGCATCAACTATGGCCTGGATTCTTGGCTCACTCACTGCTTTGTGGGAAACCACTGCCTTCATAGTAGAGTTGATGACTTTGCCAGATGCTAGAATGTTGCAGAGGATGGGATTTTCCATTTAGTGCATCACAGACCTGTCTCCTGACTTGCTTATGCTAAAACCCCCAGCAAAAACCCCCTGCAATGGGATCCAGCTGACAGCATGCAGGGACTCCAATTCATACCAGTGATTTTCCACAGGGAAGGGCTTCAAAATTCAGGCAAGTTCAGGGGAGGATTTGGCATGAAATTGAGCTCAAAAATGAATTTCAAGAAGAGGTGACTACTTTCACTGAAGAGCAGACGTGTATGTATAGTGCTCTGAGCTGTCCTGAGTGACTGCTGGCTGCTGCTCCAGAAGGTTCTGGCCACCCTGGGGGTCCTGTGCCACATCTGCCCAGCCTTAGTGTGGATATTAGGGCTTGGCACATGGCATTAGATGGGTATGTAGCTCAGGAGGTGAGTTGGGAATGAGTGTGGCAGCATATAACAGGCACATTGAAAGGAGTGTAGGACAATAGCTCTGCCACTAGCATGAGCAAGTTGGTAAATAAATCTGTTGTTTCCCAGCTTGCTTGGGCTGTTAAATCTTGATACTGCTATAGAAATGAATCAGACCACAAAGACCTGACTGCCTAGGGTCTGATGCCAGACCCTTCTCTAAAATTGCTCAACTTGCTGTACTTTTTCCAGCCCCACCAGGCTAGATACCTCTGATCAAATCAGATAAATCACAAACAGAACCTCCATGGCATTTTCTTTGCTTTTTGTCCTATCTATTGTTTGGTTTTGATCAGTATGTAAAAGGCAAAGGCGATCTATCTCATTTACCTAATGTTCATCATAATTGCATGTGGGTTTCTTTTCTGCCTCACTTCTGGAGTCTTTTTGCAGGTTGAAAGCAGCTGGCACCCAGATGTTCACCAGGAAAGTGGCAGACTTGTGGGAGCTGCACAGAGAATATGACATCGTTGTCAACTGCACAGGCATGGGAGCCCACCAGCTGGTGGGGGACGAGCAGCTCTTCCCTGTCAGGGGACAAGTACTCAAAGTTCACGCTCCTTGGGTGACACAGTTCATCCGGGATGGAGATGGCTTAACTTACATCTACCCAGGGATACACAGGGTGACCCTGGGGGGAACCAGGGAAAAGGGGAGCTGGAGTCTATCTCCTGATGCTGGCACTACTAGAGACATCTTTGACAGATGCTGCTCCCTTGAGCCCTCACTGCAGGGAGCTCAGGATATCGAGGTGAAGGTGGGCCTGAGGCCATCCAGGCAGTGTGTGAGACTGCAGAGAGAGGTTTTGAGCCAAGGAGGAATTAAGCTCCCAGTGGTCCACAACTATGGACATGGGGCAGGTGGCTTTTCAGTGCACAGGGGCACAGCCAAAGAGGCTGCTCTCCTGGTGGAAGAGTGCATTTCTGCTCTGCAAGCCTCCTCATCAAGGGCTAAGCTTTGAATCCCAGAGGCTCCTTTTCCATTTACAGCTAGTGCTGAATCTCCTAGCAGCAGCTTGGACTTTAGGTCCATTACTGTATAGAAGGGAACTAAGTCAACATCTTGTTCCAGTGCAGATACTCAGTGGTATCTGTAACCACCTTGGAAAGGCATGATGTGTTGATCCAAGTATTAGCGCAGCTGATCATCTCCTCCATCTGCCCTGGACATTTATCTTAGTCTCATGTGAAGAAGACAAGATACATAAATACTCTTCACATAACAGGGATCAGATTGCTGCAATATAATACAAATAACATCAATTTAGCATTTCTGCACCTGCATCTAAAGGGTGTCAGATGCAGTAGGCTCAGATTCAGTAAAAATAGTAAAAAAAGGTCTCCTCTTGTACCAAATTTAATCTAGAATTGCCCTTGCTTCTGCTGCCTTGCTGACAAATTTTATCATTGTCTATAGGATTTAAAAGGAAAAGAAAACCCCATGCAGTGCTGCATTGCAGTGCTGCATTACAGCGCTCCAGGTCAGCTCTTATAGAAAGCAGTGTTAGGTCACTGTCACACACAGTCACCAGGCAAGTGTGATTTTAAGAGCAGGTCTGTAATACCCATCGCTGTATTTGCTCATATTGCACCTCAGGGAGCTTAAAGTTTCTGCTGATATTGGCCCACATGAGCTACAGTTTTGTGTGTCTTTTCTCATGCTAGTTTGCAAATCTGTTTTTTCCCTTCCTAAGAGCAAAACCAAGGCCCTCTTGGTTTTGCTCTTAGACACCAGTGATTTCCCCCCAGCCCCTCCCCTCCTCCCCCACACAACATTGATATGGCCTTTGTTCTACTGAAGAGGATTTTTCAGAGTGGGCTGGGGAATGCAGCATCCCTTTTCTACTTCACAACAACACTGTCTGATTTCCTTGCAACAGCTGATAGGAATAAATTGGAGACAAACCAACAAGGATTCTAACACCGTCATCGGTTTTGTAGAAGAGCCATTTAAGACTGGATAAACACTCTAAAGAAAAATGTGTCTGTAACTGGACAGGAGCGAGCTCCTCTGCTGTAAGAAAGCTGAGTCCTCTGCTCACTCCATGGCAGAGGCTGTGCTGGGCTTTACACTCTCCTCAGCAATTCAAACCCTTTGATGTGTCTGAAGATAATCACTCCCCAAAACTGGATCTTATCATCAAACTACAGGTCTGACTCTTAGTGAATAAATGACTCATTAAATCTTTAATGGCTCACTTGAGAGTGTTATCATCCATTTTTGTCTAGCTTTTTTGTTCCATAAAATTACAAAACCATTCAAAATCCTTCAATAATTCCAATGATTAAAATTAATGGATAAATAAAGTTCTAATAATGGAGCAAAGGTCACTTCTGTAGTGTTTCCTTTCATAAGCAAGGGATTTTCTTTCATTTGGGATGGCCTGACAGGGCCAAGAAAGGCCACATTCAGCTACCAACTCCTGCTGTTCTCAGGGGGGATGAGGACAGTTATCATTTCCAAGGGACAGCTGTCAGAAGAAACATCACTAAATTAAATTATGGGTCAATAAGCGCCGGGGACCAGCCTAAGCCAGCCCTGCCTTCAGCAGGACTGAAGAAGAATGAAAAAGAGAATCCTCGTTTTCTCAGCTCTGAAAGCTAATTTTGCACTCCCCCCTTTGTCCCCCCCCATTTGTCCTTTCCAGTGGTATGAGAGGGCAGAGCTGCTGCTTTTGGCAGCAGTGTTGGCGTAGGGCTTGTCAAACTGCAGCTTTGTCCTCAGCTAACACAGAACATAAAAATACATGGAAAAAGAATATAAGAATGGACTCTTTTTCTTAATCTTTATTTTAAGCTTTATAATAGCAACAGTGTAACTTATCCTGGAGCAAGAAATGCTACTAATGCTAATAGGGTGATTATAGCCCCATAAGAAAGCAAAGCTGTGCTTGTGCACTTCTCTGCAGGGTGATGGGATTTCTTCTAATCTACTTCTAAAAATTATCTGTTTGATGCAGTGTCAAAACCAGGTTTGGCTGCAAAGCTTATCCATCTGGTGTCCTAGCTTTGCTCATAGCCAGCAGGGAGGACAGCCACTTCTGGTCTAGGGTCTTCCTCATCTGAGGGGTAGCTCAGTGTTTCAGATGATTTATCTTCCACAAAGTTGTTGACTTGCTTCTAAAACCATTTATGGTGCTTCTATACTCCCCAACATCCTGTGGAAACAGGTTCTGTAAAGGGAGAAACTTCTTTGTCCAGGAGCAGAGCTTGTTGCCTTCATCTTTGTCTTGAACCTAAAAACATCATTTGATGCCCCTTTCTTGCATGTTATGAGAGGTAGTGACTCCATGTCCCATTTGAGTTTATAGAGCTCCACCATACTCTCTCTCAGACTCTTCTTTCCCACCTTGAAGAATCTTGGTTTACATAATTGCCTCACTTTCACAAGCCCTGATCCTCATGGGAAAATCTGTTGGAGAAGACAGCACAGTGAAGCATAAGCAATCCAGAAGGTTCCTTCTCCAAGTGATAGAGCAGCCAACAAGGAGAGGTCCTATGCTGGACCCTGTTCTTGTCAACAAGGAGGGGCTGGTGTCCCAAGTGAAGATATTTCTCAGGGGTCAGTACTGGGGCTGGTGCTGTTAAAAATCTTTGTCAGTGTCACAGACAGTGGGAGTGAGTGCACCCTCAGCAAGTTTGCCAATGACACCAGGCTGTGTGGTGCAGTGGACACACTGGAGGGAAGGGATGTCATCCAGAGGGACCTTGGCAGGCTTGAGAGGTGGGACTGTCTTGAACTGTCTTGCACTTGTCCTTGTTGAACCTTGTCATGTTCAACAAGGCCAAGTGCAAGGTCCTGTGTCTGGACTGGGGCAATCCCAAACACAAATACAGGCTGTGTGGTGAATGGACTGAGAGCAGCCCTGAGGAAAAGGACCTGGGGGTGTTGGTTGAGGAGAAGCTCAACATGACAATTTGTGCTCAACAACATGGCAATTTGTGCTCAAAGCCCAGGAAGCCAACTGTATCCTTGTCTACATGGAAGCAGAGTGACCAGCAGGTTGAGGAGGTTGATTCTGCCCCTCTGCTCCGCTCTTGTGAGACCCCACCTCAAGTGCTGCATCCAGCCCTGGGGACCCCAACATAAGAAGAATATGCACCTGCTGGAGGGAGTCCAGAGGAAATAATGAAGATGATCAGAGGGCTGGAGAACTTCTCCTATGTATGTAGGCTGAGAGAGCTGGGATTGTTCAGCCTGGAGAGGAAACAGCTCTGGAGAGCCCTTACAGCACCTCCCAGTACCTCAAGGGGGCTTACAAGAGAGTTGGAGAGAGACTTTTTGGAAGGGCATGTAGTAACAGGAATGGCTTTAAAATGAAAGAGGGTGGATTTAGATTAGCAAAAAATTCTTCACTGTGGGGGTGGTGAGGCCCTGGCACAGGTTGTCTAGAGATGTGTATGCCTTATACCTGGAAGCATCCAAGGCCAAATTAAATGGGGCTTTAAGCAACCTGGTCTAGTAGAAGGTGCACTTGCCCATGGCAAGGGATGGAACTAGATGATCTTTAATGTCCCTTCCAAACCAAACCATTCCATAACTCTGTAACCCCTCTTCACTTCATAATATATTAAAATGCTTTCTAGTAATTAGTAAGCATTTAAGTGGCAACCAGATACCTGTCCTGAGTAGTACTAAGTGTTTCAGAGGCTGTGGCTGGGTAGTGAGGCAGTCTTCCTCCCAGATCAGCCAGGTGTTTTTCTCTGCTGTTGGCTATACTGATTTTCAACTGCTGTTGCTTTGTGCAAACTCATGAGATGGCTTTTGCAACTCATTTAGGCAGGTTGCATTTTACTGCCTTGAACAAACTGGTACCACCAGCAGATCAGTTATTTGCCTGACTGATGGGTCTGTGGATGAACACTGGCCCTACGTGATCCCTCTAGGATGCAATTGGCAGCTTCTCTCCGCTGTGAAGAATGGATGATTTATCCTTACCTTGTCTCTCTATCCTGTATGCAGTTGCTGACTCATGAGAGGATCTTCCCCCTTACCCTGTGCCAGATTAGCTTCTTAATGGGTCCTTGGTGACAGATGTTGTTAAAGGCTTTCCAGCAGCTGAGCAGATCACAGCGAGTGGATTGCTCTCATCTGCAGCTTCACAGTTTCCTCTGAAGCTGTCAGAGGGTGGTGGAGCACAGCTTCATAGGCTCTCACTGCAAAGCTCTGCCAATTCTCCCCTCTTAGTCTGTCTCTCCTTGTAACTATTCTGTTACTATGGCTTTTGCTGTTTGCCTGCCACAGGTGTCAGATTTAATGGCTTACATTTCTCTAGATCCCTTTCAGCACTTAAAAGAAAACAGCATAAATTGCCATCCTTTTTCTTTGGCTGTTTTAAGTAAAAGCTTATACGCTGGCTCTTATAGTGCAATAATTTCCATTCGCATTCCTTAAAAACCCACAAGCAAGTAACATCTGCTTTCCATGAATTTGCTACTATCCGTTGAATTTGTTTGTTCTAAAGCCTCATCTAATGACCCTTCAATCTGAGGCAGCTTCCCTGCATTATCCCTTTAACAAATGGTTCTGCTATGGGAATTTCACTAATCTTCTCTGTGCTGAACACAGACACAAATAATCTGTTTAGCTGTTGTGTTAGGATGTGTTTCCTCTCAAACTCCTTTGCCACCTTGATCATCTGCTGACTGCACACTCTGGTCACCTGCAGAACCCTCCAGCAGGCTCCCTGCTCCTGCTGGGATAGAGGAGGCTCCTGCTGGGATAGAGGAGGCTTTTTGTCTCAAAATATTTTTTTAGTCTTCCTTTCTGTTTCTGCTTTTAATTTGACAGAGTTCATGTCCTTTTCCTATTTTGGAGGGGATCTATTTTGGTTCTTTCCCATGTAATTTTTATCATGCTATTACAATGACCCAGTAGTTATCTTCCTTCTGGAATATGTCTGATGTTTCTGACTTGTAATTATAATGATGTCAAAATGGCACCTTTAAACAAATGTAGTCATGATTCTCTGCTCCTCTCTTCCTCTTCACTTCTCCAGTTTCTAGCTTGAAATTCTTTTTAAAATCTTACTCATTCTCACAGAGGTTTTCTCCCTGGTTAGAGTCATGCCACAAAAAGATTGGGCATTCTATTCAGAAATCTCATCTTTTTGTTCCAAAAGCTTTCAATTTGCCAAGAATATGCCCTAATATTTTGGGAGTAACTGAACATCCTTCTGTTATGCTTCCCTGGGCATGGAAAATTTAAATAATCTAAAATATATCCTAGATCCATAATGATGCTGCCCTGTGCCAGCTGTGCACCTGCCCACAAAGGGGAGTCACACTATTTCAGAGCCTTCAGGCCAGCTCACTGCTGCTGACTGCTTTCAGGCAGTTGAAGTTTGTTGAGACTAGTCCTGGCTGGCTTCAGCTGCCCAGCCCCAGGTGTCGGTCTCCAGCAATATCTCATCAGCCATCCCTGAGTTTCTGCTCCTCACCCAAGACTCATGCCAGGAGCTGAAGCAAAGCTGCAGCCTCTGTTGCCTCTCCAGCTCCAGCTGAAGCTGAGCCAGCAGCTGAGGAATTTTCAAAACTCTGTTTTGATCTTAAATCTGTCTGTGCTGCCGCATCAGCTCTGTAGATTTCATCTGGAATCACAGAACAAGTGTCAGAGAAACACTCACACGTGGGAGAGGATTAAGAGTGGAAGGTTCATTAAACCTCCCTGACTTCCTCATGGT